AGCTACATACCTCCAACTGATTCTTCATTTGTCATTGTCAATAAACCTGCTTCTTTTATTTCGTCGTCAGCAATTAATTCTTGAATATCARCCAAATCCTTCTATTGCATGCGCCAATCTCACTATGTTCCTTTATTAATCTTCTTTTGGTGTAGAAAAGTGCTCTGAATGTTTATTTCTGKTATTAGTGCTTTCCAGCAAGATTTTAGTGTTGAAGGACGAATTTTTTTAAGTGACGCATCAACAATTTCAACAGAATTAAAGTATGGAAAAAATGCATATAGTTTTATTTGGGCAAGAAAACGTTTTTCAAATTAAAATAGTAAATATTTGAAAAAAWTTTCCTAAAAATCGCGTTGTAAGAAAATGTCCGCATTTTGGAAACCGCGTTGGAACGAAAACGTGTTATAGGAAACCGCGTTGTAGGAGGTTCACCGGTATTTTAATTCCAGATGCGGGAATTAAAAATTAAATATGTGTATTAAAAATTCAGTTTTTTTTTGTTTTTTAATTCTGAACTAACGAACCATAGTATAATAGTAATTGAAATAGATATAGGATCATTGGAACAAAAAGTAAGAGTTCCTAGATGGACGTAATCGGACCACCAATAAAGTGCCAATACTAAGAACTGAATAAAGATATAAAACTATTTTGAGTTTTGAAAAGGTGAGGGTGATCCCGTCCTCTCATAGGTTTAATGTACATATCTCTGAATTCAAGCAACACAAATTATATGAGAAGTGCCAGTGTCAAAACCGGACTGCTAAGCACTTTTACGTAAAATCTCCGGACCCGCTCGCTGATAACTCTAACCAAAGTTTTTGTGGATTTTAAGCTTCCTGAAGCACATTCAGTTTGAAAAAAATATTATAGCATGCCTTTTACTAATGCGGGACACTTCCTCAATCTTTGTTATCTCATCTGAGGATTACACCCAACAATCCAAGGAAAATTTGATACTGTGGATAATCTGCTGAAAATCTTTCTAATATACAGAGAGAGAGAGTAATTTTTAAGGAATACAAAGTTAACCATATTAGCTYCATGAGAGAACCAAAAAGTGATGTATACATCGAGCTCAGTCTACTAACTCTCSTAAAAGCCTTTCCAAAACCAAAAAGTCTTAAATAATCTATGTTTTGCCATTAGTCCCRTATACTCATTATGATTATTTTCGTTTTTCTCGTAAATATCATTATTTATTTTAGGTTTATAGAACCTTTAAAATAGTAACACTTGCTCTTCTGGAAAGAATATTGCTTCGACTTCTTTATAAAATTAGTCTCAGTTAAATTATTTGCACTTCGACATAATAAATTATTATTTTGCACAACGTTACGTTCTATATAAGAGTCTACCACAGATCAACACAGCTTTGACAGTATAGTCCTTACGCTCCTATTACAGTTTTCAAGTCCACTTTGTTGAAATGAAGTATATCTATTTCACGCCTTTTTGGTATTACAAACTTCAACTATTCAGTGGAAGTTTATTTAATGTTGCCAACAAAGCAAAACATACCATTTGTCAAATAATTAAACATCTGAAAAATTGTAAACGAAAAACCAAAGCTATTCAATTCGGCTACTTCTCACGAAGAGGTGAATAATTATTAAACTACACAATAGTTTTGATTTATATTACGATTTCTTTGCTCTATTAATATTTTTCATAAATCAACACAGTCACACTTGGTAGCTCCCTTAGTTAATCTCTTACGTACGAGAATAAAAATAAGTCATTCGGCACCAAGTCAGGACCATACAGTAGACGACTCATCAAATCGATCTTTTTAATGCTAAATAATGCAGTTGTTTCAGTCGATGTGTGAGAGCTCACATTGTCATGATGAAGGTGGGTTTTCCTGATTTCTTGTAGAAGAACTGGCAAAACGAATGCAAACACACTCATACAGTTGAAAGTAGTTTAGTCTCCGGCTGATATGCGATCCCTGATTCGTTTTCCGCCACAATGCCGTAGGGGTGTTTCGAAGCGTCGCACTAAGGGGTATTTGATGCAAAAA